TAGAAAAACTGTGGCACATATACTCAATGGAATTCTATTCATCCATAAAAAAAACAAAAAACAAAAAACAAAAACCCTGGCTTTCGACAGGAAGTGGATGAATATGGAAGTCTTACTGCTGAGTGAAGCAAGCCATGCTATAAAAGGGAGGCATTGTATGTCCCCACTTAATATATACCGAGTGTCTGCACTTTATTACTGAAACTAATTGTCTAAAGGATATGGAAACTCAGTATAGAGATGTAAATATCAGATATAGTGTGTGTGAAAGAGCAGGGTCTGAGGAAGGACATTTGGGGGAGGGACAGGGAGGCAAAACATTAATGGCATAAAGAGGTGTGGTATTATCTGTTGAAGATATTTCGTAGTTTTATCAACAGTACTAGGGAGAAATGTTCACCTGTTGAAATATCCATTTTGTAAGATAAATAATAATGTGACTGAATGTATGGAAGAAAATGAAATTAAAAAAATGGTTATGAGGTAAAAACATTTAAACATGTAAATAATTTGTTTAAAAAAAATAAATAAAATTATATGCGAGAGAAAAAAAGAAAGAAAGAAAGCAGGGTGTTGTTAGGGAGAGCTGGGAAGTCACTAGAGGGACATCTGAGAGTCATAAGTAAGGATATCTGTGCTGCACCCAGAAAGATGAGAGAAGCCAGACCTTCACAAACCTGAAAACAGTGCTCTAGAGAGAAGACTGAACAGTGCAGAGACCTGGCAGCAGAAAAGAATTTGGTGACAGAAGACACTAGAAATGTAACCAGTGTGGCTGGAGAAAAACTGGGGAGGGAGGAGATTGAAGAGGGAGGGGAACAAAGCTAGTGATCTGCTGCTTGTGACAAGTGTTTACAACAACAAACATTTATTATCTCACAGTTGCTGTTGACCAGAATCCAAGCATGTTCAGCTGCATCTTCTCAAGGTTCTTCAGGAGGGTGGGGCTATGGTCTGAACTGAAGCTTATTTGATTGAGGATCCATCTTCCAGCTCACTCAACACTTATTGGCAGTATTTATTTTGGAATGAGGGTCTCAGTTCTTTTCTGTCTGTTGTCCAGGACGTGGGATAAGTGGGTTTCTCTATGAAAGCATAGATCTTTGCTACCAGGGACTCTGCACAGGGCAGATTATGATATCTCAACTTAACTTCACTGGAGTATTGGATAGAGGACTGTGGGACAATAGACTAAGAGAAAGATGGCAGGAAATGGCAGATAGAATGAGCAAGACACAAGTCGTGGACTTTTTATAACTCAATCTTGGAAGTGGCACCCAACTAACTGTGATGTATTGTGTTGTTTAGAAGGCAGTCACTAAATGAAATCCACCCTTAAGGGAAGGAGATTACAAAAGGACATGTAGACCAGGAGGCATGGATCACTGGGAGCATGGCCGAGGCCACATTCCATATAGACTAAGATGAGGCACTTGGGACTGATTCTAAAAATAATGGGAAACTATCAGAAGCTTTTATTCCAGAGGAATAAAATGAAATGAATTTCATTTAATTTCACACTTTCCTGGTGCATATTGGAAACAGGAGCAAGAGGAGAAGTGACTTTCTCTAGATCACAACACTGGAAACCATTCTACTTGAGTTGTATTGTATGAAGTATTCCACTACTTTTTTTATTTTTCTTTTATCTTTAAATTTATGCATTAGCTAGTATGATACTAGCAAGGGGTCCCTAAGAAATTTATGGAAAATAGAAATTTTGAAAACAACTGAGCTGAATTTCAATTTTTTTATACCAATGTACTTGAATTTCATTTTCCCATAAACATTTTGAAGTCCCCTTGCATAGGTGTTTCGTATAGGTATTTGTAGTTATATACATCTTATGACATCCTCCAGAAGTAAATGCTAGAATGTTCTCCATTGTACAGGTGGGGAAACTGGAGAGGTCTTGGAAGACATACGACTTGTACAGTGCCACATAACTGGTAGGATGGAGAATCCAAGTCAGTCTACAGCAATGTTCTTAAAGCTGGGGCCCTGGCAGAACACAGACCTTCCCCAAGCGCAGGCTGGGTTGGTGTAACTATATATGTTATGATATGTCACAGGGGTAGAGGGTGAGCAGTGGTGGCCTGGAGGGGCTCTTAGGGAAGTCTTGTCTAAGGAGGAAACCCAGGTAATGAAATCCCAAAAAGTGACCTCATTTTCCTGATATTAGACCCCAGAAGAACTTGGAACCCTGGCCAACAGGCATCCATATTCTAGGTCCAGACCCCTATCTGGAATTGGCTAGAGATGCTTAAGAGAGCGTGTTCTCCAATTGTATCTCAACTTTCCAAGGTTCTAGTCTCACAATCCCAGAGAAAGAGCCTTTTCTAACACCACAGACTCATCCCAATGTTCTGGACATTTGCCAGGAGATGTCCAAAGGTAACACAGAGTAGTCCAGGAAAGGCCAACCCAGACCAAGTCACCACTCTGACCACACTTGGGCAGCTCCATCCCCTGCCCATGTATATATTTGGAGGAAGAATCATGATAAGTGGGTTGTCATGTATGAGCACAGGTGAATGAGAGATTAGAAGCCTAGTGGGACCATCATGTTTATATCTCTGGTCATGGCTGGTAGGGTGGGAAGAGGAGCATCAACAAGTTCCTCTTCTTCCCAACTGTTTATCTTGAGCATTCAAAGGGTATGTTTTCATCCCAAGCTAGAAGACTGGATAGACACAAGTCTGTGGCTAATCTGGAGAGCTGAAAGTTACATGGAGCAGAAGAAGCAGTAATGATGTACCACAGAGGGCTTGTGAATCTTTGGCTGGTTGCTGGTCACTATCTGTGCAGAGCTCGGTGAACAAGATCAGGTAGGAGCTCACCATAGGGGTCATCTACTCCCTCTCCACAGTTCCAATGAGAACCAGAGCTTGGTTGGGGTGCGTGCATTGCTTTATGAGAACTTTGCTATAAGGGATGAGAAGCTGAGAGTATGGGGAGAGAAAGCAACTAGAATCCACAGTACAAAGTAGCAGTGAGGAGAAAGCTATTTGAAGATAGAAGGCCAGAAATCTGCACAGTGTCAATCTCAAGTATTCAGGAAATTAATGCTCAGCGTGTGTGTATGAGACTACCTAGGGCTATGGAAAGAGCACTCAAAAAGATTAGAAGGAATACTGTCTAGTGCCCACACAGCTAGGAAGAGTATCTGCTCCCACCAGACACAACAGAAAAATCCATTATTCATGGGCATTGGATTAAGTAAACAAAAGAGTCTCTGCAGTGGAAAGAAATTAGCTTAGACTGTGAGCTCTGCTATGGGCCCAATTAAACTGCTTTTTGTTTGTTTGTTTGTTTGTTTTTGCTATAGGGTGCATGTGCTCACCAAAGAGAGATGGAGACAGGGAGAGAGGTTACCTCCCAAGGGGATGGCCACACTGCAATTCCTTCTCCACTCTCCTCTCAGGAATTTAGGCATGCACGCACACATGCCTGGTGTGATTTTTCAAGTCACCAGGTCCAGGAATTGAACCATGGAGCTGGCCGTGTGGGATCCAGTACCTTAACCTCCATGCCACCTGCTGGCCCATACCCAATTAAATATTAAAAGCAAGATCAGAAAAGATCTGACTCTTCTAAGCAGATAAACCACAAGCATATATGTAGGAGTTTATAATGTCTGGCATTCATCAAAGTAAAATCCCAATGTGGGGCACACAAGCAAAGTTTATGAAGCAGAAAATCACAACCCATAATGAAAATAATAAATCAGTTGAAACAGACCACAACTGAAACACATGTTAGAATCAATAGAAGAGAACATCAAAAAAAGAATTATTATAACTCATTCAATATTTTAAAAATTAAGATAAAAAAATATTTAAAAGATCCAAATTAAATTTCCAGAAATTAAAAATGTAACATATGACATGAAAAAATATACTGAATGGGCTTGCAGGTGGCGTGGTGGTTAAGGGTGCTGGACTCCCACATGGCTGACCACAGTTCAAATCCCGGGCCTGGCAGTTTAGTTCCTCTCTCTCTCTCTCTTCCCTCTTTGTCTCTGGTCAAATTAATATGAAAATTAAGTAAATAAATAAAGATAAAATAAAATAATTCTTTAAAAAATACACTGAATGGAGGTCAGTGTTATTGCTAGGCTTAAAGGCCAGAAACCAAAGCATTCCCAGTTTAATGTTGCTGGTAGGAGATCATAGTGAGATCTGGCAAAAATCAGGTCCTGGTCCTTCAAGTGAAGGAAGTTCCAGGACACAGATATCATATTTTTGGAACACCCTGACCAAAGATCCAGATTTCTGCAAAGAAATTTTTAAGTCATACCCAGAAAAGATGAAAGAACAGAACATCCCAGTTACTGGGATTTCCTGAAGCAGAGAAAATGACAAAGACCAGGCATTGCTAAGATGCGAGGATGTGACTGTGAAGTTTACCCAGGAGGAGTGGCAGCTCCTGAGCCCTGCTCAGAAGGACCTATACTAGAACATGACCCTGGAGAACTCCAGCAACTTGGTGTCACAGAGGTATCAAGCCTGCAAACCAGATGCACTCTCCAAGCTGGAAGGCAGTGAACCCCTGTAGACACCAGAAGATGAAATCCACAGTCCATCTCATCTGGAAACTGAGAAAGCTGATGATCATCTGCAGCAGCACTCACAATACTGCAAAATGTATTAGGGACAGAATTCACTTGGAATTGTTCATTGGAGCAAAAGTCATTCTCCTATACAGCCAAATTATGATATGTTTAATTTCCATGGAAAAACTTTGAAATCATATTTGAGCTTAACCAGTCAGAGAACAAGGTGTAACATTCAGGAGGCTTTTGAGTCTTAGGAGGTCCTTCCTCCATGATAATCATGAGCAAACTCATACTAAAATCAAATTCCATGAAAATACAAAACCCAGCAGCATTAAGTAACAATTTCTTAAATGCCAACGAACAGACAAAACAGAGAAAGTTTATGAATGTATGGAATGTGGGAAAGCTTTACTCAAGAATCTCATCTTGGGGCTGGCAGATGGTGTAGTAATTAAAGTGCTGGACTTACACATGATCGACTAGGGTTCAAGTCCCAGACTTGGTGGCTTGCTTTCTCATTCTCTCTCTCTCTCTCTTTCTCTCTCTCTCTCTCTCTCTCTCTCTCTCTCTCTCTCTCTCTCCAAATTGAATAGCAATAAATAAATTAATAAATAGGGAAAAAAGTAGTGACACCAATTTATGCAAAGCCACATTTAAACAATGCTAGGTTCTTCTTTGAAAAGAAAGAGAGAGAGAGAAAGAAATAAAGAACTCTCGGGGACCAGCAGGTGGCATGGTAGTTGGGGTACTGGACACTCTCACATGGGCAAGTACAGTTCAAGTCCTGAACCTGGTGGCTTGATTTCTCACTTTCCCTCTCTCTCTCTTGCTTTCTCTCTTTGTGTGTTTCTCTCTGGCCAAATTAAAATAAATGAATGAACAAATAAAATTAAGTAAATAATTAAAAACGAAATCTCAGCTTACTGAACACAAGTGAATTCATACAGGAAAAAAAAACAAGCAAAAAAAATAAAACTATGTATGTGACATATGTGGGAAAACTTTCTACAAGAAGTTCAAGCTCAGTGAACATCAGAAAAGCCACAAAGGAGAGAAAACCCAAGCATGCAGTGAATGAGGGAAAGTCTTCCTTAGGAAATCTTAGCTTATGAAGCATCTGAAGACTCACAGGACATAAGCCCTATGTATGCAGTGTATGTGAAAAGAAATTCTCCAGAAAGTTCAAGCTAACTGAACACCAGAAAACTCATACAGGAGAGAGCACCTTTATGAAGGTGCTGAATGTGCCAAAGCCTTCTGCAGGAAGGCAGAGCTCATTATACATCAGAGGAAAGAGGAGAGAAACTCCAAAGTGTCATGTGGGAAAGACTTCTCCAGAAGATCACTGCTCATCATACATCAGTGAGCTCATACAGGAGAGGAACCTTATATGTTCGGTGAATGGAGAAAGGCTTCATTCAGAAGGGCAACCTTATTATACATCAGCAAAGATCTTTTTTTTTTGGAAAGCATGTCATTTGTTTTCATTTCATAGGCTCAAAGATGAACTTTGGACTAGTGAGTTGGTGATGGAACAAGACTTTGGGGACCACTGGGATGAAACTGATAGGTTTTGTATGTAAGAAGGAAACAAATTTTGAGGCCAGGGGCAGAATACTATGGCTTAAAATATCTCACTCCAAAATTCCTGTGTTGAAAATCAGTTGCTATTGTGATGGTATTAAGAGGGTCAAAACTTAATCTGTTCATGGCACAAAGAACTGGGATCTTTGATAGGTAATTAAGATTACATAAGGTTATTGTGGTGGAGCCCCTATGACTGAATACTGGTGGCTATGTAAGAGGGAGAGACAGCAAAGCAGACACACCACACTCTTGCTCTCCTATCACGTGATGGCCTGTGCTGTCTCAGAACTCTGCAGAATGTTCCCACCTGCAAGAAGGCCATCACCAGATCTGGTCCCTTGACCTTGGACATCTAAAACCATGAGTTCAATAAACTTTTATTCTTTTATAAAGAATTATATATATATATTTTACCAGAGAGAGATGGAAAGTGAGAAAGCAAGCTACCAGGTGATCTTCTGGACTCTAATGTACTCATTCCATCAGAAGAAGTCAGTCTGCTAGTTGTAGAATTACATGCCACTGTCAGTTGCTGAATTCCACAGGAACCAGTGCACATTCTCATGTGTAGGGAGGAAAACAGAAAATTCTCTGTGAAGGAGTTATTAAAATTATTAATTAATTTATTTTAATTTACATTTGATCACGTCTTTACAGGATACATTTCTTTTTCCAAAACTAATTCCATGCATGTCAGGCAAGACAAGGATATTACCATATACATTATCATCAACAAATGGCTTATTTTTTGCCAATTAAGCATACTTTTACCCTTTTTTTGTTCCCCCTCCCCTCCCTTCCATATTAAACTTTTTACATTTTATTGACTCACAAAAAATCTTAAAGTATGGACAAAGCTAGAATCTATGACAAGTGCACTGTAATTTTCTTCTGAAACAATTTTTTTCCTCTCTCTATTCCCCCTTTTACTAAAGAGAAGTATAAACTAACTTATTTGCAAAAAAAAATTAGGTTAATCTCAATTTGGTCTGTTATTTGCACAAACTCTCATAAGAATTCAATTTCTGATGCAAGGCAACAGATACTATTGTATCATTGAACTTAAGCAAACAATCATTCTGCCACAAAATAAGAATGCTCACAAATTTTTTCCAATTGCAAAGGGGTCAGGAAGGGAGAAAAGTTTATGTTATGGTTAAAATTTTTCTTTTTTATTTTTAACAAATTGCTGAACTAATTAACAACTCAAAAGAAAACCAAAATTTTTTAAAGAATTATTTTATTTAACTTTATTTATTATTAATATAATTATTATTTTTCAGTTTGATCAGAGAGAGACAGAGAGAGAGAGAGAGAGAGAGAGGAAGTGAGAAAGCAAGCCACCAGGTCCAAGACTTGAACCATGGTCGGCCATGTGGGAGTCCAGCGCCTTTAACCACCACGCCACTTGCCAGCCCCGAAAACCAAAATTCTTAAATCTTGAAGACACCGCATAGAAGAAAATCAGTAATGTTTTAGAAAAAAGTCATAGAATTCTATTTCAACCAGTTCAGTCTGGTGTAATCTCTCTTTTGTTGAATTTGCAGTGTTACTGTGGTCTGACCTTTCCTTTAACATTATTATTATTAATATTTAAGAACTTTTCCCTACCATTAAGTAGACCTTTTTCTGGTCATTTCTTCTTCTCTTATTTGTCTGTCTGTCTTTAGTTTTCCTGGTATAGTACTCCCTTCAGAACTTCTCAAAGAGTTGGTCTGGTGTTGTTAAATTCTTTCAGGTTTTGTTTATCTGAGAATATTTTTCTCTTTTCTTCCCACATGAAGGATATTCTTGATGGATATAGTATTTTTAGTTGAAAATGTTTTTGACTTAACACTTTTGATGTATTTTCCCATTCTTTCCATGTTTACATTATTTCCAACAAGAGGTTAGCCTGATAGGATATCTTTTTAAAGTAATTTGATGTGTGTGTGCGTGTGTGTGTGTGTGTGTGTGTGTGTGTGTGTGTGTTTGCCAATTTTAGTATCTTATCTCTGTGGTTTTGGTCAATCTGGCTATGATGTGCCTTGGAGAAGATCTTCTTGGGTTGATTCTATGTGGAGTCCTTTTTATTTCTTGGGTCTTGATCTTTGAATGCCTCTCTAGGTTTAGAAAGTTTTCTTCCAGGACTTCATGGAATAGATTATCAATGTCCTAATTAGTTTCTTCACCTTCTGAAATACCAATTATCCAAATATTTGGTCATCTAATGGTATCTAGTATTACTCATATATTATTTTCATTTGGGGGGGGTTATTTTCTCAGTCTTTTTGGTGAATTTTTCTAGGTCAGAGGCTCTATCTTCTGCATCTGAGATTTGATCTTCTACATGATCTAATCTGCTTTGGATATTCTCAAGGGAGGTTTTGATTTCCTGTATTACAGCCTTCGGCTCTAACAGTCCCGTATGATTCTTTTTTATGATGTGTATTTCCTCTTTTAGATTGTGGAAGAACTTCCTCACCTACTGGAACATACTGTCTCTTTTCTCCTGCATTTTCTATCTTTCTTTCTTCTTTTTTTTTTAATTTTTATTTCACCAGAAAGACAGACAGAGACAGAGAACAAGAAATCACCCTCCAGAGGAGATGGTCACACCGCAATCCCTTCTCCTCCATTCTCCTCTCAGGATCTTGGGCACACATGCTCACACGCCTGGCGTGAGTTTAAGCCACCATGTCCGGGACTTGAACCACGGTCAACTACATGAGAGTACAGCAATGTAGTCATTATGCCATCTGCTGGTCCCTCTCCTACGTTTTCTGGAGTTCATTGTTTCTCTTCTCTTCCATCTCTGTTAGCTTTGTCACTATGAATATCCTAAATTCTTTATCTGACATTTCCACAAGTTATTGTACTGTCTGTGAATGATGAAGGGCTGCTCTTTCCCCTTGGGGGAGAGATATTTTCTTGATTTCTCATATTTCTTATGCCTCTGCAGTGGTGGATTCGGGGTCATCTGATGGAGTATATGCTACTTCCTTCTTTCTGACTTTTTTCTGGGTGTTGGGCTGGAAGGAGGGATTCAGGGCAGAGGCTTTCCAGCTAAAGGGCAAGACTGGTCTCACCTCAGATGCACATGGATTCTGGCTTTCTGCTGGGTGTTGGCTGTGAAGTATTTTTTAAAAACTTCTGGAGGTTAGGGAAAATAAGTGGCATCAGTGGTGGGAAGCACATCTAAATTACCCAGAATGGGTAGCTTCTCAATGGTGTGGCCTTTGCTGGTGATTCAACTAGGATGTGCTAGTTTTTCCTCCCATTAAGATGAGAAAAGTGTAAATTATATAATAACATAAATTATATAATTTTTTGGTTTCCCTTCCCATGTTTTGATACTTTGTTCACTTTTTTTCTCAGTCTCTAGTGTGACAACTCTCTATCCTGTTGTCTTCCTGTAGGAGACTCATTATTTTATCCATGTTTTCAGTCATTTCCTGATTCTGTATCTTTATCATTTATGCCTTTCTAACTACAGTGTGTGAATGATAATGA